AAAAAAAAAAAATAGTGGAGATGATACAATAAACTGGTGTTATGAGTCTATAGATTTTTTTCCTTGGTTTTTTGGGTTTTTTTCGTTTTGGAGCCGTGCTGGAGAGAGGGACTGAAGGAATCCTGGAAACTCCAATGGGAATGTCAGATAACGAGGAGGGGGGGAATTATTAAATTCAAGTGGGAGGCTCAAAAGCTGCCCGAAAAAGGGCAGGTGATTTTTCTGGCCACCCGTTTTGGGGCTGTTAAAATCGGATTTCAGGAATCTTCGAAGGCTTTCAGAACCAGGACTTGCTTTAAAGGAGCTGTAATTCCATGAGAAACCATCGACTTCTGCTTTAATTTTGGCTTCTAGGGACCAGATATCATCCATCAAGCTGTGAAACTAAAAATCTCCTCCACTAAAAAAAAAAAAAAAAAAAAAGGGTTTAGGGTACTTAGTTTTTAGACTAATATTTCATTGATATATTTCTACTTCTTCCATTGTATGCTGAGCATATAAATAACCATCTATTTTATGGGAACTCGTGCCTTTAAAAGCCTTTGTAAATCTAAACCCACCTTTCAGAGGTTATTCATCTTTTTACCTTTTCTACGTTTCCTACTCTTTTTTTTTTTTTCTAAAAAAATATTTTTTTGCATATTTCCTTTCGGGAGTGGGGGGGGGGGGGGGGAGGGACAAGCTGGGCTGGGGGAAAAGACGAGAAAAGCTCATTTTTATGCAATCTATTTTTCTGTATAAAGTTTGAAAGACTTTTGGTTGTTACTGATCTGTTCTCTTCACTCGCTTCTGACTAAGCAATGCTAACTTTTGTACAGATCCATTTGATAAAATTAAAAAGTGCTTTTTATCAAGGATGTGTTCTGTTTTCTTTCTGCTTGAGCCTGTTTGCTGTGCTGGGAAAAAAAAAAAAAACAACCAACAACTGGGAAAACAGCTTGGAGAGGTGATGAAATCTTCAGAATAAAATATTTTCATCAAGGATTTCTTTTCCTTTAAGTCTGGATTTTTTTTTTCCCTCTCTCCTTTTCCCTGCGCTTTGTGTCTTACTCTGAGATTTATCTTTTTTTTTTTTAATACAGATAAATTAATTTGCTTTTTTTTCCCCTTTAAGAAGGGCATTTCCATGCCCATAATCCCAAGGATTTTATAGGATTTCAGACTGCTCACATGAGGCTGGCTTTGCATGTTCAGCCCGTGTGGTTTCAGCCCCAGCTGATTTTCCTTCTGTAGGAAATTTACAGGAAGAAATTCCCTTTTCTACTTGGTGAGCCCTGGTAAATAAATCCCTCTGAATTACGACAGCAACCAAATTATATGTTGCATGTCAGGCTGGGTTTATTTCTTTTTTTTTTTTTTTTTTTTTTTCACGATCATTAAAATTATTACATTTCTAACTTTTATTTTGATTCCTTCCAGAAAAACTCTCGCTGCTCTCCTTCTTGTCCCTTCAAGGGAGCAAAATCCTCTCAAAAAAAATAAAAAAAATAAAAAAAATCGGGATTTGGGAATTTCAGCCCTCCCTGCTTGAGAGCAAAGGCTGGGACACGAGGGGGGGGATGGATGTGATGACAATTAATGAAGTTGCAGCCCATTAAGGAGGGCTGGGAGCAGAATCCCACGCGGAATTCTCTGCCAAGAGGGGCTGGAAGGTGACACCATTTTCTCCGTGCTCCTTTTTCCAGAGCTGCTGGCAGCAGGATTTGATTCCAGCCAGAGCCAAAGTGCAGCGTAATTCCCTTCCCTCCCTTCTCCTCCCTGCCGTGACACTGCACATTTCACTTTTTAGCCTCGTTTGTGCCTATAAAATGGATGTATTCTGCTTTTCTTTTCTTTTTTTTTAAGGTTTTTTTTTCCTCTTTGAGTGTCGAGGTTGGGGATTGTCTCCTGCACGCTTGGAGAGGGGGTGGGGGAAAAAAAAAAAAAAGGAAATAAAAGGTGAGATGGGAATGGTTTTGGGAATGATTTTTGCTTTCTTCTGGGTGTTTGATGAGTGGCTTCGCTGATAAAACAAAATGAAAATCCCTGCCTGTGATAAAATGGTGAATCGCCTAAAATAACGACATGAAAAACTGAGAATCGCCCCAAAATATTAAAGATTGCAGTGAAGCATCCCTGGCTCCCGGGAGGATGGATCCCAATCCTTTCCCTGTCCCAGGGCCAGGGGTGACCCCCAGTGCTGTGCTCTCCACTCAAGGATTGCACATCCCAGCCAGGCACCTCTAAAATCCACTTGCTGGGGCCACTTCCCATAAGCTTTGCAAAAATAAATTGAATTTTTCGCTGGTGTTTACAGAAATAAAGTAATTAAATCGTATATTGTAATAGAGATCTGTATTGGTTTTTACCATGGAATTGGGGTTGGGAGGGATCCATAAGGGTCATGGAAGTCCAAGTGTGATTTGAGATATATATAATATATAATACACATTATTTATTATAGATTTTATACTCTATATTTTATATTTCGATCATATTTTCTATAATATTTTATATTGATATGATATATATTTTATATATTCTATCTATTTTTTTTAGATCTATATTCTATATTTTACATCCATCCCATTCCATAGGTTCGAGGGGTGACGGGAGCTTTGGAATCATCAAATCCTGGAATGGTTTGGGTTGGAAAGGACCTAAAAGCTCGTCCTGATCCCATCCTGGGCAGGGACAACTTCCACTATCCCAGGCCTGGCCTGAGGATTTGGAGCAGCAATTCCAGGGAGCAGCTCCTGGTTTGTTGTTTTTTTTTTGGGGGGGGGCTGTTTTGGATAAAACTCAGAGATGTTGCAGAATGGGAGCTCAGGAAGGTAAAATCCTGGATAAAATTCAGCATTTGGGGGGAGCTGGACATTCCCAAGATCTGCAGAATTTCATTCCCTACCCCTCGATCCACACTCGAGGAATTTCCCATTTCATTTCGCTGAGAGGAGAACACAGATCCGTTTTTTACCCCCCTCCAAAAAAATATTAAAAAAAATCATTTTTCTCAGCAATTTTTTCATTCTCCCAATCTGCATTTCCACCCCTTGTCCCCGGGCTGGGCTGCAGGAGGAGAAGGATTTTCCAGGAGTTTTCCAGGCCTGAATGGCAGCATTGTGTGTCCCGTGCTCGGGGCTGGAATGTCTCTGCAAAGTCAATGAGATCAGGTGAAACCAGCGCTGCCTTTTGACCCCTGGCTGCCAACAACAAAAAAAAAAAAAAAAAAAAAAAAAAAAAAGGCTTCTCAAGATAATTGCATGAAATCCACGGGCGAGAAAAGTCCCTTCCATTTTATTTTTGGAGCAGGGAATAAAGAGTGGTGCTGTTTAGCTCAGACAGTGCTGGTTAGCAAGAAAGAGGAAATTAATTTTATAGACCATATCCACATTCTTTCTGCAGGCTGGAAAAAAAAAAAAAAAAAGTCCCTTCCCATCCTCCTTGTTTTAATTTTTCCTGGAGTGACATCAACTTGTGTTAATATTTTTTTTTTTTTTTGTATGTTTGTGGCAAAGAAATGATTAAAGGGCATTTTTATGTTGGCCCTGAGGTTTATTAAACTTCCCTCTGCCACCTTGATATTCCCATTGCCAGGGCTGGATGCTCCTCGTGGCCTGGGATTTAGGGCAGAAAAAAAAAAAAAAAAAAGAAATAGAAAATAAGAATTCCTGGAGATTTGATGTGGTTTGGAACACAGGGTGTGTTCCAGGAGGGCAGGAAAAGCCTTTTCCAGCTGATCCTGGGAGGGCAGAGCTTTGCTGCAGGGGAACTTTGGGAAACAGAGCAGCACATGGGAGATTTTGGTGGCCAGGGGAAGGTTTTGGTGGCCAGGGGAAGGTTTTGGTGGCCATGGGAAGGTTTTGGTGGCCAGGGGAAGGTTTTGGTGGCCCCAGCGTGGCACAGGCCTGTCCCCACAGAGCCAGAACGAACTTCCCTTTGGGAAACCTTTAAGGAAACTCCAACATTTCCTTTTTTCCAGCCTTCACGAGTTTGGATTTAGTGCTCTGATGGCAAATTCCTGAGCACGAATTGACCAAGGGCTCCAAACTCCCTTTTTGGGGGTGGGAAGAAGGAATTTCCCATCAATTCCTGGCTGCCCATGAGGGATACCTGGAAAAACCCCGGAGACAACAATGCCACGGGCTCAGCACTGCCCTGCTCCTCCTCTGACACCCTACAGAGGCTCCACGAGGATTTTTGGGAATTAACACCGAGAGGGGAACCTGCACAGGGATCTGGGATCCAGGGAGAGCTGATCCAACCCTGGATCCATC